AATCCGGATATAATATATAATCCGGATATAATATATAATCCGGATATAATATATAATCCGGATATAATATATAATCCAGATATAATATATAATCCGGATATAATATATAATCCGGATATAATATATACGGCATACGATATTTATACGGCATACTACATTTATCAATCTACTATGATCAAAATTTTTATTAGTGAAATTGAATATTATTTTTATATTAGTTATCTAACATAGTTTTGATTACTTAGTTGCTAACGGCATACGGCATTTATACAGCATTTATACAGCATACGGCATTTATACGTACTACTTACACATTTAATATGGCATGCGGCACTTCTACTTATACGGCAAATGTGCCGTATCGCCGTAATTTTTTTGCCGGGGTAGTTACCCTAAATGTTTGCATCATTAACGAAACATAATGCCTTTTTACTACTTAAACTCGTGTATGTAACACTATCGTACAGTGTTGGAATATGACCTATTGACCAATTATAGGTTATGACCTTATGACCTGTTATGACTTATAATACGTTATGACCACCTTGGTCATATAAAGTTGAATATGACCTAAAATGGCCAACACTGCTATCGTATGTTATTACTACATAATCAAACAATATAAGTAGATTCTATTATACATCGTGATCATGCAACTAAAAAAAAAAAAAAATGTCTTTTCAAGAACGGTCAATATCACCAACACCTTCATTAGAAGAAGTTCCTTGGACACCACAAAGCTCCGCTTCTGCTTCTGCTTCAACTAATGAAACAAGTAATGAACCAAATAATGAAACTGATAATGGAGCTGATAATAAACATTTTCAGACCATAGGTCGAAAAAAAAGACAAGCGACCAACAAAAAGAAGCCATCAACCACTGTTACACCTGCCTTAACAAACCAAAGGTCCAATGCTAGTTATACACACTTTTTTTTTGAAGACGATAAGACAGATGTTCAAATTAAATACTGTAAAGTTTGTATCAAAGAATGTGAAGGAAACCGTAAGCAACCATATCCGTATACTAAATCGAATAGAAGCACAGGACATTTAACGTACCATCTTCGTGACAAACATCATATTACTGCAAGTAACTACAAAGAACACCTTAATTCATCTCAAGAAGTAAGTAACTTAATTAAATATTCAGGGAAATTTCAAGCATTAACTAAAATAATCCATAATTATTTTATAGCCAATAGTTAAAGTAAATCCGATCACAAATTATATTACCAATTTACCTCCACTTTCAGTTAAACGACAAAATGAACTTACTAAAGTTCTGGTAGAATTCATTATATGTGATGTACAACCTTTGTATATATTACAAAGTTCATCTTTTCGTCGGTTGCTTTTAGAATTCCAACCACAATATCAGATTCCATGCGCGATGACCATTAAGAATTATATTTCAGGAGCCTATTTTAAGGGAATAAATCAGCTTCAGGAAATCTTGACTAATACTGCCGATATTGTTCATTTAACGATGGACTTGTGGACCTCGAAAGGTAACCATGGTTATATTGGGGTTACCGCAACATGGCTTACTTCCGATTTTGAGTTTAGAGAAGCGTTACTTTCATGCCGCCATATGCCCTATCCGCATGCTGGTGAAAACATTAGCGAAGAGCTTTTTGATATCATAAATGAATGGAACTTAACAAATAAAGTGTGTATGATTGTCACTGACAACGGTTCGAACATGGTGAAAGGGATAAAGCTATTGAAGGACAATTATATTGTAGAAGTTCATCGGCAGCCTTGCGCTGCACATACCCTTCAGTTATCTGTAAAGGAAGGATTGAAGCAAATTAGTAACATTCACCAACGTCTTAAAAACATTCAAGCTTTTTTTCGTCTACCAAAGCAAGCGCAACGATTACGGGAAACGCATATAAATACTATTTCAACCAGTTCTCAAGGTTGTACCGGTAATAGTGATAATGAATCAGTCAACCCCCTTGAAGTACTAACCGATTCCAAGACTCGTTGGAACTCGGCATACTTGGCTTGGAGAAGGATATCTGAGTTACACCCGATAATGCGTTCACTAGCTGCATCATTACAATTCAAGCCCGATACAATGTCAAAAAAGGATGGAGAAAAACTAGACCAATTGTGCTTAACTTCTGAAGAAAAAAAGTAATTTTAATATTTCTGGAATATTATTTCATGCTTATATTGGAGGGTTTCAGAATTAACTTATTTCAAAATAAGTGAGAGTTTAAAAGGTCCTATTTTCTGTTTTAAATTCAGAATCAAAAAATTAAATTGACGTAACCGATGATAAAATTAGCTCCGTTATATTTACCAGTAAGCGGTTATGTAAATAAGTATAAAAATTTAAAAAATAGAATTTATACGTCAATTGTTTTGAAATAAATCCATCTCTTATTTTATCTGAAATCAGACGCCAAATCATTAATTCTAAAACCCCCTATTATAACGTTTTTTACTTATTTACTTATTTATTTATTTATTTATTATTATCCATTTATTTATTTATTTAATATATATTAAGATTCGTAGATGAAGTGATTAATCTTTTAAAACCTTTCGAAGAAATAACCAGGCATTTTTTCGGCTCAAAATATCCTACAATAAATCTCATATATCCTTACGTCCGTATGTTAAAAAATAAGTATGCACCAGTAGATGAAAAGGGCGAATCTGTTGAAAACTGGTTGACTTTGATTTATGGGTCCTCATTGGAAAGCTCGGATGATAATACAAGCATTAGTAGTGGCGATGAAGACAGTATACCATCAGGTGGAAACAGGAAACAATGGCAGTATGCGCATCGAAGTATACATAGTCGAGGTCGAGGCCAAGGTCGCAAACGTAGAAAGAGGCTTGGTATTTAGAATATTCTTATGCATGTATACTATATTCCATATAACCGCGAAATAACGCGCAGGGGTGTAATTTCAATTTTCGGCCTAAATTAAGCTTAATTGGGGCCAAAATTCAAAACAATGCCCCTGTGCGTTATTTCGCGGTTATACGGTATCTGTTTAGAGTCCATATTATTCTACCGACAATCACTTCAAAGACACCACTGTCGTGGATTAATCAGTACTTCGCACTGAAAATCCAACTCAAATGATAGATGCAAAATGACTTTCGGTCAAACCGATATCAAGTTTATAAATGAGGATAAGTAATTTACTTATTTATTTGATCGATTTAGTTCAGAAAAAGACAATAATTGAAATTTTATTATTTTCGCCTTGCTAATATATTCATATTTTGACTACTTATTATTGCTTAAATTGATTACACACATAATCATTACCTTACTTCAGAATATCTTACATAATGCCTTAATTATTAAATTAATATTAAATTACCCCTTTCGGGTGATTTTGTCCTGATCGATCATCACATGATGATAGATCGCTTCGAACGTTTCTTAACCATGTTTGTAAATTAATCGTCTGTAAAATAAGCTTGTTGGTGAAATATGGTGTTTTGGAAGTGATTGTCGATGAGTTGATCAGAACCTATCTGTTTATTCTATCTCAAATAAAATATAACTAAGCACTTTTTCATTGTTAGAACGTAAAACAAAACCTACTAC